TTCTTTTCGTCAGTTTTTGTGCATGATTGGATGCTCAGTGCTTCTTCCCCATTGTTACACTGCAGTTAAAGAGTGATCTACCCTCATTCTTTTTCTGTTATGTTATGGCTGTGATTTATATGATCCTTGATTTTAGTTATTATTATTATAGTTCACAAGTATTCTATATTCATTGAACACGTTACTTACCATCGATTTGCCTGTTCTCTGTGTTGACCATACCACATAACATTCTTGTGACATTAAAAAGCTTTCAAGTCTCAACACTTCAGCTTAACCGAGTGAAACACAAGCCTTAATTTCGCCCTTTCTTTCTCTCTCCTCCTCTCTCTCTCTCTCTCGTGTGTGTGTGTGTGTGTTTCACTTGTTATCTGTCCACTAAACTTGCAATCACGATTAAAAAGAAATTAAAGAGCAAAATAAGCTGATTTAGAAGCAACATTGATATCGACATTCAACACAGACACCATTTAAACGAAGGAAGATGCCACCAAACAGTATATACTCCCTACTAGTGAGCTCCAACTAAATTTCCTTTCAACCGCTGGACTTGTGACTCTTAACCCAAGGGAAAACCTTCACAGTCTCCTCATCAACATGGATTCTGAGATTCTTGAACTGTCTGGTAGCGTGATCATAAAGCAGCAAGTAACCTTTAGTGTCCTGAAGAAACAATCCCATTCTTGGAAGGATTTTGCAGACACCTCAACCAAACCAACGAGTCGCAACTCCCCAGAACATGATAGCCGGAAGTCAGAATATTAGTGTTCAATTTTGAGTAGAGACAACAAATTGTGAGGAAGATCATCGTCATTGTCCTGCACTCGTCTTAACTTTTGTGTCGTTTGAAATTTGAGCTCAACCTTCTAATTTTGGCTATAAAAAATGCGAGCTTTTGATTTTTGCAAATCGAAACATGCAGTCAACAAATCAAGCATTGGATGCGTACTATTTGGCTCGTTATCAGAGGTCGAGAAGGGGAGATGAGTAATCCTAATGTTGGTGGATTTGGTCGAGGAGATGCAGAAATAGTTACGTGTCCAAGAGTTTTCGTTCTTCTTAGTATGTCGTAAATGAGAGAAATATAAGTATAGTAGCAATTGATGTTCTTATTGTTTTTCACTCAAATTCTCTTGTCAGGCGTTTGAAACGTGTTGTCATCCACTCTCAATTTAGGTGTACAAGTGAGTTGGAAATTTTATATTCTGCAATTCTTTTTTCAAAATATTACAACTTGGGTTCTCAAGATTCCCCATTTCTTAAAATTATATGTGTCATCCTTTCATTGTCCATCTTAGATAACGAGTGACAATGTGCTACAATTTACAAAATTCAAAAGTTCATGCCTTTTATGGCCGAAATTGGAAGGTGGGGATTCAAATGCAAATGAACAAAAGTTGAGATAAGATCTGTAAATTAGTTTTCAGACATTTTATTCGTGGATTGTGACTTTCAGCTCATTTAGAGCCTTTTTATATATACAGGCTGGGGGTCCGGCCTAACCTCCCACCTTCCTGGGTGTTGTTTCAAAAAAAAAAAAAAAAAAAGATCTGTAAACTAGTTGGCTCGATAGAGCTTCTGGTACTCCAACTAAAAATTGAGTCTTTATTGAACATAGTCGAGCTCAACTCATTTAAAGAACGAGTTTATAAATGAGCTCAAATTAAAGAGCATTAACAAGAATTGAGCTAAAATTTTAAAAAATTATGTAAAATTTAAAGAGAGGACAACGTTTAAAATATTCTGGTCTTCACGACCTTACAAAAATGGCGTGGGAAAAAATTATATCACCGAATCATCCTGCCGCATTTCCTGGAGGGATCGACTACCCTGTGGCAACCCCCACAACGAGCCCAGTGAGTGGAGCAAGAGGAAGAATCAGTCGTCCCAATGGCCCAGCTTGCTGGATAGCCTTTGGTTGAAGGTCGACCCACCGCAGATGATCATCGAGAAGAGATGAGTCGCCTTCCCAACCGTCTTGGTAGGGAAGAGTCTCTTGTACAGTTCGCAGTTGAGTGTTCTCGAGAAGTTATCCTGGGATAGCTCGAGCTCAGCACCATCAAGGCCAGCATGGAAATACTGGTAAGCCGTAGGAGTGATATTCTCAAGAAGTCCGTTGAGTCAAGGAAATTTTTCATGACCTCCTGGCGGTACACATAAGTGAAAAGCGGTCCAATGAAAGACAACAGAAACAAACGGCGACCCACGACACGAGTCGCCTGTTGTCGCTCTAGAAGCTGAGCTTGATAAAGCTCATATTTTCTCCGCAACTCATTCTCATGGTCGCTGCGAGATAGCTCGAGCTTTTTTATGGAGAGTATCCTTCTCAGTGCACAACTTGTTGATGATGACATTGGTAGCCTCGACCTCCTCTTCCTTCTCTCGGAGAGCCTCACTCTTTTCCTCTAGCTTCTCTCTCAAGGTTGCGATGTTGGCTTCAGTATTTGAGACCTCATCCTTGAGCATTGGGTTGACGGCCGAGAAAAACTGCAAAAAGACAATGAGAAATAAGTTTGCGACCTGAACAAAGTATATAAGGAAATAGTTTACTTACTTGTGTGAGTTTGCGAGCCGCGTAATACCCAAGCTCCTGCCCATCGGTCTCGAAGTGAGTTATCTCCTTGGAAGGCCAAGTCAACTCCATATAATAAATAATCATGGTCGCGTATTTGCTTAGGGACATTTTGGAGGGTTGCTCGAGAGAGATCGAGCAGATCGCAAGAGAAGAGGGTTTTCTTGGATAGCTCCCAGCCTTGGTCTCAGTGACCTCTAGAGGAATGACCTTCTTACCTTAGAGTGCTTCTTCGGGTTAGGGACAAGTTTCATCCTCTTGGAACCATGGGGAGCCTTTCTTTTGTTACCAGTAACCTAGTAACCCCACCGTCGGAGCGACCTACTGTGGAATGGACTTGAGGACCAGTGCCCGCAACCAAGACTTCTCAAGTCTGTGAGGAATCGAGAGTAGCAGCGACTCCCGGAGGTTAGGCTAGGCAGAACTAGTCTTCGTCGCCTGCTTATGAGAGAACTACTTCATATAAGAATTTGTGCAAGGAATAAGAGATTAAAGACGCCTTAAAAGGTCAGACTGGCCCAAGGTTATATATGATAAATTGACAATGATGTTGGAAAGAACAAAATGAAAATGAAAATGAACAAAACAAAGCCTACCTAGGTCGTGTACAAAGGGGGCCTCCTCACGAGTTAACCCACATTGTCTACGTGAAGTCAGATCTCGACACACCCGACATGCACTCAGAGGCATCTTATTCAAGTTCGTAACCAAGTCAGCGAACTTACCTAATCTAGGCTTTTATTTTTGGGGACTTTAGAGGTTAACCAAGTGTTGGTAAAAGAATATAACCGGAGGGAAGTCAAATGAAAAAAAGTTTGTTTTTCCTATCAGAATCATTGGAGGGAAGGTCCTTAAGAAATTTGGCACCATTCCGAGAACTCAAGCTATGGGCGCCTTTATTAAGTTTTTAACCAAAGAAATAAAAGAACAACTCAAGGGAAAACTCGCGAATCCTAATATTAGAAGCACGATAAATGATACCAAAAGACAAAGAGCGTTAGGAGAAAATTGATTAAGTGGAATGCCATATAAGTTACGAAAGGACAACAACTAATGATAGAAAGTAAAATGAACTCCAAGGAGGACTTGGTTGATAAAAAAAGAATAAAAACCCCTTGGGTTATTTTTATATGACTCATAAGCTTCAGGAGCTTGCAACTCCCAATCTGATGGCAACTTGCAATACGCCCTGAAGTTATCAAGCTCAGTTGCAGAGACATAGCGAACTGGATTCAATTTGGCTATTTTAGCTGCTAGACAAACTAATTGTTGACCTAAAAAATCTACTTAGCGTTGGATGACTGACACGTGGACGGCGGGAAAGTAAAGGGGGTACGCCCCAAAAGTGCCGAAAAAAAACGTAGCCCGACCTGTGGTGGCCGACCTCATTTAGACAGCCGACCTTGTCGGGAAGCCGACCACCTGCATGAGGCAACCTCGGGTGCAGGCCGACGTCGGAGCGGACAAGCAACATTTAATGCGGGTACCATCAACTGTTCAGAGCCCATGTGGAGACATCATTGCGCGAGGGGGCCCCACAGACAGAAAAAGCTGCGCAAATGTCATTCTTCATTAAATGCCGCCGAATCTCCTCAAAAGACGAGCCCCCAGTTACTATAAATAGCAGCAATAAAGGCAATACGAGGATCTTTTTCCGACACATAAATTCTGCATTAATCACCTCGGCTATTGCCAACTTTAGCATTATTGTATAAGAAAAACCGACCTCAAGTCCGCGAAATACCGACTTGATATTTTCCTAAATAATTCTCAATTATTCAATAAAATCGTCTCATTACGCTATTAATCTAATAAATATAAATATAAATAAGTTGATCAAATCCGTTTATCAACAGTTTGGCGCTAGAGGAAGGGCCTCATATGATATCTTGAGGTTAATCTTTGCATCCAGCATCTACCATTGAAACCCTTGACCAGAAACCAGACAACGATGGCACAGTCAGGACAAGATGACCAAACAACAA